TTTCTTTTTGTTAAATCACCTCCCCAAGGTTGACGCTGCAATAATAAAACGTGGTAAAGGAGTCTATCATAGTATAAACAGCAATTACCTGTCTAATTGCAAGAATGAAGTTGCTTGTTGGGTAATCACGATAAACTCCAAATAAATATATCCTATTTTATAAGTAACAGTATGTTCTATTGCATAAGTGATAATATATTCTATTGAGTAACAATATATTATATTTTATATGTTCTATAAGAGACTATATATTATATTATATAATTAGCAATATATTCTATCGTATAAGTGACAATCTATTCCATAGCTTAAGTGACAATATATTCTACTGTATAAGTAACAAAAAATTCTATTTTAAGTTACAATATATTTTCATTTATAGGGGATCATATATGCATTTTTTATGTGACAAAATATTATATTGTATTAGTAACAAAATATTATATTTCATTTGACATTATATTTTATTTCATGTGACAATATATTCTATTTCATGTGACAGTATATTCTATTTCATGTGACAATATATTATATTTCATATGACAATATATTCTATTCATGTGACAATATATTTTATTTCATATGACAATATATTCTATTTCATGTGACAATATATTCTATTTCATGTGATAATATATTATATTTCATATGACAATATATTCTATTTCATATGACAATATATTCTATTCATGTGACATTATATTCTATTTCATGTGACAATATATTCTATTTCATGTGACAATATATTCTATTCATGTGACAATATATTCTATTCATGTGGCAATATATTCTATTTCATGTGACAATATATTATATTTCATATGACAATATATTATATTTCATATGACAATATATTCTATTTCATGTGACAATATATTCTATTTCATGTGACATTATATTCTATTTCATGTGACAATATATTATATTCATGTGACAATATATTCTATTTCATGTGACAATATATTCTATTTCATGTGACAATATATTCTATTCATATGACAATATATTCTTTTCATGTGACAATATATTCTATTTCATATGACAATATATTCTATTCATGTGACATTATATGCTATTTCATGTGACAATATATTCTATTTCATGTGACAATATATTCTATTCATGTGACAATATATTCTATTCATGTGACAATATATTCTATTTCATGTGACAATATATTCTATTTTATATGACAATATATTCTATTTATGTGACATTATATTCTATTTCATGTGACAATATATTCTATTCATGTGACAATACCATCTAATTATATAGGGGAAAATATTTTCAATTTTATAAATGACAACAAATTCTATTGTATAAGTGACAATATATTCTATTGTATAAAAGGCAATAATGAAATAAAGACCTTTTTTAAATCTTACTCTTAGAATTTTTTGCAATCTTAAAACCCGCTCGAATGATAATTGCCTGCAATGCATGTTAAGAAAGAAAATATTTGTGGTTAATGTTCGATATCCAGTCCTTCAGCCAACAAGTGTTAGTTTTACCGAGTAAGATTACGAACTTTATTTAATACTGAATTACGAGGATCAAGTAGCCAGGGAACTATGCCGTTATCTTCTAAATCTTATACTGTTTGTGGGTTTCTGTCTGCACATAGCTCTGTTAAACCAATTAAAGAGACAAGAATGTAAATTGTGCTGGCATGTCTCAGAGGAGCTAAAGTTTTCATCATTGTTTTGGTCTATGCCGTTTAGATCATATTTTGTAAAGTAACTTTGTTTCATTCAGTCTTAATTGTATTTATGCAATTACCGGTTCATTTAAAACATTGAATATTAATATAAGCAATGATCGTTTGACACATAAACTTTCACAGTGTGCATGATATTTCTCAATTTAAGTAAAAGGGAAAATTGTGTACTACACATTGGGGAGTGCAGTCTTTATTAAAGTGTAAGTTTGCGTGTTATTAGCGAAACCTAATGACTAAACTGCTGACATCATCTGTTTGTTTTATCTATACACAGTAAGAGAAGAACAGAGGGAAAAGATTCAAAGACAGAATATGTCCAACACAGGGTAAAACGATTAACACTGAATTCGACCTCAGCTCTAGCAATAGAACAAATCTCCGTGATCAGCTTAAATCAGCTCATGCATTTACAAATTGATTTGCACAATGATGTGTTCATCCCTATTTACAGTACACCCAAGAATATAAGACTATAAAAGATATTACGACGTAGAGAGGGTAAGGTGACAATACATTAGTGGTGATTGAACTGACCAGCATGAAAGAAGTAACTAAATCTGGGCTATTAGGAAACAAATTGAAAAAAGCGGAAAAATGGATTGCACGTGCTCGTGACTTGCTTAAGGCGAGAATGAAAACATTCAATGGGCTTACTACAAACGGTAATTTATAGACGATGCACAATATATATATACGATTCAACAGACAACTGATTTGGGTATAAAAACTAACATGGATGCCATGGAAATTAAAATAGAAGGAGAAAAAAATGAAAGTAACAGGGAATGTTAATTAATTCACTGCTATCGTCTGGTTCACTACTGTATCACTGCTATCGTCTGGTTCACTACTGTATCACTGCTATCGCCTGGTTGACTAATGTATCACTGCCATTGTTTGGTTGTCTACTAAATCACTGTCATCTTCTGGTTGACTACTGTTCCACTGATATTTTTTGGGTGAATACTATATCATAACCATCATCTGGTTGACCATCTTTTAGCTGTCTACTTTATCACTGCCATCCGCTAGTAGACTAATGTATCAATGCTATCGTCTGGTTCTCTACAGTATCACTACTTTCGTTTGGCTGTCTACTGTCTAACTCCCATCATGTGGGTAACAACTGTATCATTGTCATTGTATGGTTGACTACTGTATCACCGCCATTGTCTGGTTGCCTACTGTATCACTTCTATCGTCTAGTTGACTAGTATCCCTGATATCGTTTGGCTGTCTAATGTATCACTGCTATCGTCTAGTTGACTATTTACACTGTTATCGTTTGGCTGTCTACTGCATCACTACCATCGTTTGGTTGACTACTGTATCACTGCCATTGTCTGGTTGACTACTGTATCACTGTTATCGTCTGGTTGTCTTCTGTATCAATGCTATCATTTAACTGTCTACTTTATAACTGCCATAGTCTTGTTGACTACTTTATCGCTTCCATCATCTGGATGTCGTCTGTATCACTGCTATCGTTTGGCTGTCTTCTGTATAGCAGCTATCGTTTGGCTGTCCACTGTATCACTGCCATCAACCGGTTGACTACTGCATAACTGCCATAATGTGGTTGTTTACTTTATCACTTCTGCCGTCTGGTTGTCTACTATATCACTGCTATCGTCTGATTATTTTCTGTATCACGGCTATCGTCTGGTAGTCGTCTATATCATTGCTATTGTTTGGCTGTCTACTGTATCACTGCTATCGTTTGGCTGTCTAATGCATTACTGCGATTGTCGGGTTGACTACTGTATCGCTGCTATCATCTGGTTTTCTTCTGTATCACTGTTATCGTTTGGCTGTCAACTGTATTACTGCTATCGTTAGGCTGTCTACTGCATCACTACCATCGTCTCGTCCACTACTGTATCACTGCTATCGTCTGGTTTTCTAAAGTATCACTGCTTTCGTTTGGCTGTCTACTGTATCACTACCATCGTCTGGTTGACAGCTGTATCACTGTCATTGTCTGTTTGACTGCTGTATTGCTGTCATTGTCTGCTTGATTGACTACTGTATCACTGCTATTGTCTGGTTCTCTACTGCATCGCTGCTATTGTCTGGTTCTCTGCTGTATCACTACTATTGTCTGGTTCTCTACTGTATCACTGCTGTTGTCTGGTTCTCTATTGTATTACTGCTATTTTCTGGTTCTCTACTGTATCACTGCTATTGTCTGGTTCTCTACTGTATCACTGCTATTGTCTGGTTCTCTACTGTATCACTGTTATTGTCTGGTTCTCTACTGTCTCACTGCTATTGTCTGGTTCTCTACTGTATCACTGCTATTATCTGGCTGACTACTATACCACTACCATCGTCTGATTGTCTACTGTATCATTGATATAGTCTGGTTGTCTACTGTATAACTGCTCTTGTCATCGTATGGGCGTTCTTAACGTAATGCGAGCCAATGTCTCTGACGTGATATAGGTTATAACAATCACTACAAAATGGAAAATATTAGTCAAACACAAGATACAATAACACCTGAATCAATATCATAATCAATAAATGACACATACACAAATTTTTGTTTTCTTTCTTACATGGAATTGATATGGATCCCAATACAGCTTTAACGTGTGTCACATTTGTCTCTTTACGAAAAGGTTTAAACCGTATCAAGAGACTTCTGAAAGTCACACTGACAACATAATCTTTGCCAAATATAATGTGTCCACTGCTTTTCCATTTGATAACAATTTGAAATACTCGCAAAGTGTATATTATATGAGAAGCAGACAGACATGTATATGTCTTATAAAAATGATAGGAATGTATATGATTATACAAAGCCTTTCTTGTGGCTTGATTTGAATGGTATCAACATGAAAATAAATCATATCATAGTTATAAATAAATATACAACTTAAAAACAACATGGAGATGCTCATAGAATGCATATATATATATATATATATATATATATATATATATATATATATATATATATATATATATATATATATATATATATTATTCCTGAAACCACACTAAACACTAAACATGCAAACACTAAGATGTGATTTGATTATGATTTTTAACATAGCTTAAACAATTTTTCAGTCATGTTGCTACTATGTCTCCATTGTGGCAGTTTTTAGTGATATCCAGCACTGAGACATCATGCCGCAGACATGTAGCATGATGTCCCACCCAGTCACATTATCCTGACACCAGGCCGACCAGTCCTAACACTAACCTTTTAATGCTGAGCGCCAAGCGAGAAAGCTGTTAGCACCATTTTTGTAAGTTTTCGGTATGACTCGACCGGGGATTGAACCCACAACCGCCCGCATCCAAGGCGGACGCTCTAATTCTAGGCCACCTGAGCAGTTCAAACACTTAGATATAAGTCAATTATGTTTTTCGGGACTAGTACATGTATCTAAACTAATATGATAATCTGTGGAGTAATTACTTATGGAAATAATATACTTACATTACACATGATTATCTTATGTTTTTATTGCATAATTATTATGCGCATATTGCCTTTGTAATTAATAAGGACACTCAAAATAGCTCACTTCTTGATCAGAATTTGATTCCGATAGATGCAGTTCTGTCGACTGCTATTTATAACCTCACGTGGAATGAACAAAATGGCTTTAAACCGAATACAACAACGACAAAATAGTCTGTGTGTTTGCATAAATGATGATGGAGACAATTCGATCGAAAATCGAGTCACTCCTCCCTCATGCTCCATATTTTGGGGTAGAGTCATGTTGATTTTCATCCATTATTCAATTTCCTGCCGAAAATATAGACTCATGATAGAGATGAGATGAGTTCCTAACAAATTCTTCTAAAATCAAAAGTAAAATATCAAAATCACATTATATAGCCAAATGCATTTTGACGTCAATATACCATTTTAACACTACTGAAATTCAGCCTATACATTTGCTCATTCAAAACTGTATACATATACAACTAACTATTTTTAAATGCAGAGTTATATGTTGCTTATCACTGTATGTTTAGTTTTAATCATAATCACTGTGTTATGTGTATTTAATTTGTACATTTGTTTGGTGTTTCTTAATCGTTATATTAGATAACTTGTATTTTATAATTGACCTTGTATCTGAATAATTTTGTAGACAACATAATGCATAGCTGATATTTCTCTTTGTGAATAGATTGACTATTAGGATCATTAACATTAGAGGAATATATATGGTTAAATTAATTTAAGTATAGGACATTGAACACCACCACCACGACCCCAAAAAAAACATTTTGTTCCTCTTGTTTGCCATGTTCTTTATTGTAATTTAAGTACCAGATCTTTTCTTGTTTACAACATAAAATGTTCTAGAAATGAACATTTGATCCTAATACGAGTTCTAGTTTTGTGTCTTAGCTTTTTGTATAATGTTTTTCACTTGAGAATTTATTCATTCTTGTCTATGAGTAAGACAGAACAAATAACCTGTATACAGAGGACGCAAACAGTGAAATCACCTGCAGTATCTGCAAGGGGTAGCAAGGAAGTGGCAATAGCAAGGTATTAACAACAAATATATCTTACTTGTTCGATTACTGCCCATGTCATTCCTCCACCAATTATACTGGCCGCCATGTACAGCGTATCTTACCCTAATAAGTGACCTCAACCTGCATCAATCTTCTGCGAAACAGTTGAAAAAAAAAGAGCAAACAAAAGACGAAAGCAACGTAGAAAAACAAAAACAGCAAATTACAGAAGCCAGTGGGCAAATTGATTCTAGTCGTTCACGAAAAACACAAATTATGAAAAGTCCATTTTGATTAGAAGTACACATGATATTTCAACCATTAACTCATTATAATGGATTTATGATATAAAATAAACAACTCCTTAGAGACAGAATTTCAATATACACAGACTACATAACACATCTGTCTTGTCTATTTTCATGAATGCAGTATGACTCTATTGTTATTTATGTGGATCATGTTACGTCTCTCTAAATGAAACAGTTATAGAAGGAAAAAAAGGCAGTATGAATACCGTTGAATCTGTCTCTCCCTATATCCTATACAAACAACAATATGGCGAAACTCTACAATCTCATTATATATATATATATATATATATATATATATATATATATATATATATATATATATATATATATATATATATATATATATATATATATATATATATAAAACATATCAATTCAACATAGATATCGTTATCTCTCTCTCTCTCTCACACACACACACACACGCAAACACACACAGCTATTATTTGAAATGGGAAAGAGTGCAGATTCCTCGTGTCAAACTGGCATTTAATGCATGAGGTAAATATTTATTCAGACATTTGACTGATTTTTTTTTAACTCTGTGATCAAGTTTGAATATTTGCCTACTGCTACAGTTAATATGGAGCTGATGAAATGCCGTAGAATACCATTGACAGCCTGTCTGGGAATCTGCTCAGAACAAATATTAATGGTCAGGATACAAAATAAATTAACCATCATTATAAGTTTAGACATTGTAAGAAGGCTGGAACTATTGCATTCACTCTCAAAGAATGTTTGATGTACTATATAAATGGAAACTATCTCTATTGCATTCACCCTCAACGATCTGTTGCATTCATCCTTAAAGAACTTCTGATATACTATATAAATCAAAACCTTAAAGAAATCCAGATGTCATATATAAATCATAACTGTAATGCATATACTGTTTTCCTGGCTAGGAGGAAGGCATTGAATATCAAATCACATTGTGAACTATTGAAAACGAAATAAACATTTGGGCATTAATGATAGTCACTCATTTCTTGACACAGCCCCGTTCCTACTTCCGGTCAAGTTGTTGTGTGTTGTGTAAAAGTCTATTTCAAACTCATTTCCGTGATGAAGGGAAGTTGTTTAAGGACGCGTAATGTCGGATTTCCTTTCCTTGATCAATTGAATGAATAAATAATGAATAATTACTGTATGTAGACGATACCAATCTTCTAAATTTAACGCTGAATGGATTACAAACACTACAAGAGATTAAAAGTCGCGTGGAAAGTGAAATATTATGCTACAAAGATTTATTGGAAGATAGTCAGGGAAAGCAAAGAGGCTTACTCATAAAATGGACTTACTTTGGAATTACGGGATATTCCTGGAGCAATAAATGTGAGGTACACTTGTGTAAAATTTAAACGGTCAATGGCCGTGCAGAGTCCGTCTCTGATACCCTTATAATAAACTCACATTAGATCATTGTGTTATATACAAATGTAATCAATCATATACTTGCTGCGAAAGTCTAAGAAAGAGTTACATTGCCCAGTGGTTTGCATGGTCCAGAACTTCAGTTGAATATAACACATTGCCCACTGGTTTGCATGGTCCAGAACTCCAATTGAATATAACATATGAGTTACATTGCCCACTGGTTTGCATGGTCCAGAACTCCAGTTGAATATAACATATGAGTTACATTGCCCACTGGTTTGCATGGTCCAGATCTCCAGTTGAATATAACATAAGAGAGACATTGCCCACTTGTTTGCATGGTCCAGAACTTCACTTGAATATAACATAAGAGTTGCATTGCCCACTGGTTTGCATGGTCCAGAACTTCAGTGGAATATAAGATAAGAGTTACATTGTCCACTGGTTTGCATGGTCCAGAACTCCAGTTGAATATAACATATGAGGGCGTGGAAATTTTTGAGAATTTACTCAGATATTTCGCACTGAGACGATGTGGTCTCCCTGAACTATCGCCCATAGGATTTACTCCAGCATGTTTGGAAAATTACTCGTCCAAAGACGGGAATCAGACAAGTAATAACAACAAATAAAAATGGAATGAAAGCGTTTAAAAAAAGATTGAAATATACCGTCCTAGAGCAAGTTTTATTAAAAAAAACAACATATTAATAAAAGGCAATAAAAACTAAAACAAATTGGGAAGAGAGAAATTTTAAAAAGTCAAGTCAGAACCTAAAAATACAAAAATGTATTTAAAAAAGTAATCAAAAGATGAGATGAACGATGTTAAGAGAATGTTTGAACGCGCGACCTCGCTTCCTGCATACAACACAAGAAAGAATATGTATGTATGTATGTATGTATGTATGTATGTATGTATGTATGTATGTATGTATGTATGTATGTATGTATGTATGTATGTATGTATGTATGTATGTATGTATGTATGTATGTATGTATGTATGTATGTATGTATGGCTGATACTTGTTCAGGCTTTCCTAAGGTACAGATGCATTTGGAAGTTACACGTGTCCGCTGTGCGCGTCTACGTGAAACGACGTATTAGCTTGTTTTTAATGCTTAGTTATTTGTAAAAAAAAAAATCAGTCAGGGTCGCAGCTTATTTCATGATCTTAGTGAGTCACATTACTACTTTTACCTTTAATTGTTTTTTTGGTGCTGGAAGAAGTTGTTTGTTCGTGTGTCTACGTAGAACGAACTGTGGTTTGTTAGCGGAGATAATTGTACTTCCTCTACTTTTTAAATAATTATTTTCTCTGGACAACAATACTACTGCTTTTAACATAGACATTTTATGAAATTCTTCTAAATTGTAACGGAGCAATACAAATTTGTGCTTCAATGTGTAAATTCTGGGATTTTTATGTTAGCTTTCGTCTGACGTCATCATCTACCATCCTGGACCGGAACTGAACTTCAGACTCTCAATTTAGAACTGTTCACAGGATTTATGTGTTTTCATATCTTAAGAACAAACAATTTGGATCTCTTTCGTAAATCGTCAGTCTTGTTTCCTATATTTACCATTGATCCATGTCTTCTAGGAAAGAAATTATTTTTGATAAAATATATAAAGCTTGTTGTAATGACTCATTCTTTGTGTTACCCCGACCATTCATATTAAAAATTTGCAAAAATCTTACTAACAGCTGCCTTGCTAAACGTTCAGCATTAAGAGGTTATTGTTATGGCTAGTCGGCCTAGTATCAGGATAATTTGACTCGGTGGGAAATAATGCTACATATTTTATGGCATGATGCCTCAGTGTCAGACACCACTATAAAGTGCCACACTCAAGACATCTTAACAATATGACTGGAAAATTGTTAAAGCTACGTTAAAAATACAAATCACACACACGTGCGCGCGCACACACACACTGAAGATTGTCTCAACTATTTTTTTTTATTTTGCAGTGGCAGTCTTCCAGACAAAATGACATCCAAAATATAACTGCGCATAAATATGGGTATTAGAGAAGGTGGAGAAACTTTAATGAGTATTTGAGGGCGTTGGTGTAAATTTTATAAATTAATCAATTATTGAAAATGCACCATTTATGGAAACTCGCTTTCATTTAAGTAGAAAG